CACGCATCTATGTTGCGTAAATACGTGTGCGACCCCGATCACGTCATTCCTCATACCTATATTCAGGTTCAGCCAGATCTATCATACAAGGAGCGACCGGTAGTTGTACTAGACCGTCAGGTCCGTCGGCTCCGGAAGCGAGATGTTCCCCTCGTGCGTATTCAGTGGGATCGCCACGGAGCTACTTGGGAGGCAGAGTCCGATATTCGCGCTCGTTTCCTAGATTTTCAGTTCTGATGTACATATTTTATGTTCCATGTACATAGCTTATGTATTATCATTTATGTTTTGAATTTCCGAGGACGGAAATTATGTAAGGAGGGAGGATTGTAATATCCCGATATTTTATCAGTATAAATTATGTTTTAGTTCCGATATAATAATGTTATCAATTATTATTTTCGGAATTAATTATTTTCAGTCGAGATTACCGAAAATTATTTTCGACGTACCGTTTACGTTCGGAATAATTTTGGTAATTAAGCATTATGTTTAATTAAATAATTAAACATAAGTAAAGTGATTAATTAACATTAATCATACACTAATACACAAAAACCGTACGGCATTATGCATAGATGTCCAAATTGTGATAAACAAAATTTCCTCCTCATTAAGCAATATACGTGGCCTGTTAGGAGAATTTCTTGATGACTAATCATATTTCTAGCCTTTAGTTTTCTAGCAAGTGTCAAGCCAAAGTGAAGCCACCAAAGTGCTACATCATCACAATTTCCGATCGGTTTTCTGTATAAGTGGGGGTTTGGAATTTTTTTTCCCACTTTCCTTAAGTATATGAAGTTTTATGCCACCTATATCTTCCCCCTAAAAATTCACTACAATCAGCAAGTATTAAGAGGAAATTGGAGCACCGTAGGCATAAGCTTACCGCACGCACACTCCTACCGCACGGCAAGAGCTAGATCGCACCGAGAGCTTCCCTTCACCGGAGGTGTAGTCAATCGAGGATTTCGAAGGTAACACCAGCTTATCTTTGAATTGATTATGTTAAGGATAAGTTAGTTCTGTTTTGTCGAAGTCTTGTTCATGTATCGGCCTTAAGCCGTGCGGTCGTGTGTAGGGTTCATGTCAAGCCATCATGTTTTATTTCTGAAATTCTTCGAGCAAACAGATTTTATTTAGCTAAGTTATGTGATATCATGTTCAATTACCTTGTGTTGCCCGATGTATGTTCATGTTATTTGGAAGTTCGGCCGGGAGACGTGGTCGCGCACGTCGCGCGCCCACGGGCCGAACATAGTATTAGATTATGTCAAGG